TATTCTGAAATTTCTTTGTCCACTCTTAGTCAATTAGACTGCAGCATTGAGGTCATTCACTCTTACTTTGTGTGGACTTATTTGTCCTTTTACAAAATTTGGTAAAATTATAAATATATAATTATAATTATTATATCTTTTCAATTGATTCTTATCCCTCTAATTTTGGAATGAAGTCAGTTTTATCAGATATGAGTCTAGTTGTTCTTGCTTGTTTTTGGATTCTGGATGCTTGGAGTATCACTTTCCATCCTTTAATGCTCTCAGTCTATCATGCCTCTGAGATGACTTTCTTTCAGACAACAGTTGGGTCTTGCTTTGTAAGCCATCCAGCCAACTATATCTTTTAGTTAAGATATTTAGCATTATTTACATTTAGCATTATTGTTGTACTAATTCCTCATTTTTTATCTTACTTGCCTCAAGAACTTTATCATTTATGTGTATTATTATGATGATGATGATGATTATGATGATGATGTTGGTGCTGGTACTGGCACTTTAACTCACTGGCACTTTAACTGAGCTCTTTAACTCAAGCCTAGCGCTCTACCACTTGAGTCACAGCTCCACTTCTGGCTTTTTGTGATTAATTGGAGATAAGAATCTCACAGACTTTTCCTGCCTGGATTGGCTTTGAATTGCAATCTCAAACCTCAGCCTCCAGAGTAGCTAGGAGTAATAACAGGTTTGAGCCTCTGGCATTCAGCTAAAATATATTTTTTAGTATCTTTAAGTAGTTATACAAAGGGGTTGCCAGTCAACAAAGAAGTTTATGAATACAATGTCAATGTCATCATTTTCAACGTTCTCCCCCATTCTTCCCACCCCACCTCAATTTTCTTTATTTTGTAGGCTACACATTGAATTTTATGACTGCATTTTTTCTCACTTCCTCTCTTCATTCATCTATCCCTTCCCTTGACTGTACTGCCTCCTTTTGAGTACCAGTTTCCTGGTATTTATTCTGTTGGATTATAAGTTAGCCTTTCTAAGGAATTACACTGGAATTCTTCCCTGAATCTACCATATTTCAGTACACTTATGTACACTTGCATACCACCCTGAGTATTTACTTATATACTTACAAATCAACTGTGGCTTCCACATATGAGAGGAAATATGCATCCTTTGTCTCTCTGGGCCTGACTTCACTTAACATGATTTTTTCCAGGTACTTATATTTCTTTTCAAATAATGCAGTATCATTCTTTCCAACAGATGAGTAAAATTCCATTATGTCTATCTACCATGTCATCAGGCCAAATTTCTACAGTAGACTTTAGGCTTGTAAAAACTATAGCCCTGCAGCTAGAACCGCCAGTTCTTTGTCACAAGGATTGGTCTGATTTACTTTGTGGATGCTGCTTTGGGTTTTTACCTCAATCCCCTCCTCCCTCCCACCACTGGTGGGGTTGGAGTTGTGGATGGATTACTATTTTAGTCTCCATCTTTCTATTTCCTGTTCTTTCTTAGCTGTTCAGATCCATTTTTCTTGATTCACAATGCTTTTTCTCTCTCTCTTTGAAGTATACTGTTTCCTTTGTTGCCCCGACTCTTCTCATTTATGAAGAAAACTTCCAATTTGGCTTCTCACACCAGTACCTCTCACCTACTCATATTATCTCCATTCCTGATACTGTGAACAGGAATTAAAGCAGATAGTGTCAAGAAATAATCACAGTTCCTTGATACGTGATAGCCATGGTTCTTAACATCTGATACTTAGTCAAAAAATTGCAAGAAATGTTACAGTTCACATCTGACTCTTATAAAGTATTTACCTCTAGTCAAGTAAAGATACATAATTTCTAATCAACTGTGCCTTTATCAGAGTGTTTTTGTATCTGCTACAAACTGCTAATAATTGAGTTGAAGATAATTTAGATATATTCCTACAATCATGTAGATGAGTAGGAATTTCTTTTTAAAGAATATATTACAAAGTTCACAAGAAAAAAAGGCATATATCTCTGCTTAGATTCAAGTTTCAAGTTCTTCATGCTCAAGCCTGTCATAAGAATACACTGTTGAAGTTCTTGAATCATAAGCAAAGAAACAACATTGTTGTAGAGGGCAAAGATAGGCTACCTTGTTTATAGTAAAAACAAGGAATTAATAGATGCTTTGAACAAACAGACCCCAGAACAATTCAAGTTGAGGCTAATTAGCATTTTAAAAATGCAGTATTGGGGATTGAACCCAGGACCACAAGATTTCTAGGCAAGCTTTCTACCATTTAATCTTAATGTCTTCTGTGTTCACAGAGCTCTCTACTATACCAGTAAAGAATAAACTTTTACTAGACAGTGTTGGTAGAGAGATGACATATGGGTATTAACAGAAATAACCAACCCTACAGAATGTTTTCTATTATCCCCTTCTAATTCCTGATAAGTCTGCAGAGGGACTGCTTTCATTTTATTGACCTTTATTTCTCTCTCCAGCATCATTAAAAAGACAAAGACAAGCCATATTTATATATTTATTCATACATATGTAAAATATTTTTTAAAGTAAATGTGTGTAATTAATTACTTTTTGGCAATACTGGAGTCTGAACTCAAGGCCTTGAGCTTGCGAGGCGGTGCTCTACTCATTAGAACCATGTTTTCAGCCCTTTGGCTTCAGTTATTTATTTATTTATTTATTTTGGGGGGGGGAGGTCCAGTCGTGGGGCCTGAACTCTGGGCCTGGGCACTGTCCCTCAGCTCTTCAGCTCAAGGCCAGCGCTCTACCACTTGAGCCACAGTGCCACTTCCAGCTTTTTTCTTTTTGCTTATGTGGTGCTGAGGAATCGAACCCAGGGCCTCAGGCATGCAAGGCAAGCGCTCTACCACTGAGCCACCTTCCCAGCCCCTTCAGTTATTTTTTTAATAAATTCTCACATTTTTGTCTGGGCTGACTTATACCAATATTCTCCTATTTCCAATTCCTCCACAGCTAAGATGACAGGGCAATGCACCCAGATTATTAGTTGAGACAGGGTGTGGGTAATTTTTGCTTGAGCTGTCTCTAAACCAGAATCTTCCCAGTTTCTGTCTCCTGATTAGCTGAGATTACTGAGTGACTGTATCTGGTCAGGTATAATTATTTTAAAAAAGACAAAAAAGAATACAAAATGGTTAATATAAAAGCCAACTTACCAATGATTCCACTGTCTCTGCTTTCAAGGGTGGAAGTTGGACTGGTAACAGCCCCATAACTACAGTCCTTGGCAGTTGCATTTGTACTGACTGGTGGGAGGGTAGAACAGGGGCTACTTGCTGGTGGAGAGGCAGTGCTGCTAGTCAGGGTGGAGCAGGGACTTATTCTCTGGGTAATTGCTGAAGTCTGAAAGATTAAACAACAAAAAGTAGGATAAGTACATTAGGTATCATAGCAAAATACTATCTTTATGAATAAACAATCTACACATACAATTTTTTTACCACTATTAGGCTTTGTTTTTTTTTCCAAGATAAGAGAGTCTACAATTAAGGTAAAAGTTGATAAAATAACATCAGTAGATACTTGTGGCCAGTTTTTCTGCTTAGGTAACAACTGTTCCAAGTACTTTTGCTAACAGAAAATAGGAATTTCTTATTTAACACGTTTCTAGTTCAACTCAAAAGTCCCCAGAAGGCACAGAACTTTCCTTTGTTAATAATTTAGATTACAGAATAGACATTTACTAGATAGAAAAAAGAAATAATAGCTCATAGCCAAGAATAAATAAAAATTTTGATACATAGACAGCTGTCTAGAGACAATAAATAAATGCAGAGAGAAATTATTTATTCTCTCTAAAGTAAATGTTAACTCTCAATGTTAGCTTAATACAAAATGAAATTTCTTAGTAGAAAATAACTACACACTAAGATTGACCTATATCATGAGTGATCCCTTCACTGCAAACTATCTTCTTTGAGGTTTTTAATGCAAAAGATAAAACTACGATAAAATTTATAAGGTCCATCCTAACGTCTTAGAAACTGTTGAGAGAAGAAAATAAATTTGGAACTTGAATATCACTTTCAAAATTTGGTCTTTTGCGGAAAAATTATGTATACCAGTTTGCTGTCCTAGATTCAGTCACCACAGTACTATTTGCAGGATATTATGACTGTAAGATTTTTCCTAAATATAGCAGTCATCTATTAATATGCTCTTTAGATCAGAAGTCACCAAATGAACATGGCCTCTTAGTTCTTAATAATTTCCTAAGAATAGAAATTCTAGTGTTCAATTTAACCAGCTTCCGTTGACAGTATTAAACAACTACCATTTTGACTTATTGTTAATATTTTATATCTACAGAAAGCTTAAAACATATTTCTACTTAAAACATATTTCTACTATTTCTACTACTTATTAATCTGGTATGAAAGGCATAATAAATAGCATTTTCTTCTAAGAAATGTGAAAATGAAACATCAAAAGTATGAAAGCAATGAAATAGCCACATAATTCATATAGTCATACATACATTTATATGCTAACTTTATTACATGTTACTTTATACTTTTTAAGATATTTTACAGCTTGTGGAGCATTTTAACATTAAAAATGTAACTTGACCCTTGAAACAATCCTGTAATGTGTTATTTCTTGTTATACTAGAATATTACAGTGTAGCTGTTAAGAACACAAAATATAAAATAAGAATATTTGTATATTCTCTCTAACAATGTGATTACATTTTCTTATTTGAATATTGAAATATGAGTCAACACTATTACACTGAATTGTAATGAAATTTAAACAAAACAATACAAGTAATGCAATTAGTGCAGTGATTGGTATACCTGAAGCATTTAATAATGGTCAGTTCTTATTACCTATAAAAAACATCCCAAGCTCAGAGATTAAGTGACATCCCTTAGTTTAAAAATGGTAGGTGCTGCGGGTGCCGGTGGCTCACACCTGTAATCCTAGCTACTCAGGAGGCTGAGATCTGAGGATAGCGGTTCAAAGCCAGCCCGGACAGGAACTCTTATCTCCAATAAACCACTAGAAAACCAGAAGTGGCACTGTAGCTCAAGTGGTACAGCGCTCACCTTGAGTTGAAGAGCACAGGAACAGTGCCCAAGCCCAGAGCTTAAGCCCTGCGACCACCCCCCTGCCCCCCGCAACAAAAAAGGTAGGTACTAAACCTGAAACTAGGATATATGTTCTCTACATGCTGGTTCAATGGCTTTTCTGTTATGATGTGGTTTGTTAATGATTCTACTTATTTATATAAGATTATTTTACTCAGAACATCTATAAGCAAGGCATATTCCATAGAGTTGTGACTTTTTTTCAGAAATCACTATAACATGAGGAACCTCAAAAATGAGAAGCACAAATTTTATCAGTTCAGGAAATGTTATCTTGTATAAAAAAGGAGTCTTTGGTAATACTCAGGCAATAATATATAAGATTTATATCATGTTACTTGGTCATTATTAGTCATATATTGATTAGATATGAATGTCAAAAGATAAAAAATAGATGTTTTATTTACCCCAGTATTTATATAACCTTCAATATGTCACTTTCATTTTTTATCCATAAAGTATAGCATATTGACATGTATACAATGTAAATTGGTTTTTAAAAAAAATTGATCAGGACTGCCAATGGGAAGATTCTTTTCCTGTAAGAGATACCAAGAAAAATCCCACAACTAAATCTGTAATATGCTATCCACTGATAATAAGAACTCTGAAGAAAATAAAGCAAAGGGACATCAGGATGAGTAAGTGGTATTAGATAGAGTCATTAAGGAAGATCTCTCTGAGACAGAAATATGAAGTAGAATGCTGAGTGAAGTGAGGTAGAGAATTATGCATGAAGAGCATACCAGTAAGAATATGTTTTATGTTCAAGGAGTAATAGGATGCCAGAAAGGGTGGAGAGCAGTTGACTGGTGAATGTGAAAGGGGAGAAAATAATGTAGGAAAGCTATCAAGGGAGGAGATCAGATAGTGCCTTTCTTGGTTGTAGTAGACTTTAAATTTTATTAATGTGATGGAAATTCAATGGTAGATTAAAAGCAGAGAAGTGATAGAATCACATTTGTTAAGGATCACTCTGGCAACTGTGTGAATATAATGTATGAGGATAAAAGTAGAAGTAAGGAATGATTAGGAAGACACTTTTAAAAAATGATCTTTAAGTAGTGGTATAAAGGAGTTGACATTCAATGAAGCAGTTTATGAATATGATTCATCTTGGTCAATGTTACCCCTTTGAGCATGCTTACCCCTTTCTCCCAATCCTCCTTCCCTAATTTTTCCTAATTTTGTAAGATGCATTGACTTTTTTTTTAAACTGCAGTTGAGGTCTATTTACTAAGTACCTATTAATGGTTGACATTGTTCTAGGTTCAGAGGATTTAGCACTGAAGTGAACAAAAATCCCAGCTGTTCTAGTTTAACATGCTTATCAAAATTGCAGTTGCTGGGGGAAAAGATGACTGACTTAAGACTCAGGTGAAGCAGGAAAAGTAGTAAGGAGGAATCAGACTTAGTATATATTTTGAAGACAAAATCCACAATTTTCTAGAAGAGTAAAGGAGGGATATGAGAGAAACTAAGAATGGCTCCAATACTTCTTTTCTAAGCAAGTAAGTGATACCATTTGCTTAACTGAGAAGTTGCAGAATGAGCAGGCACTGGTGGGGAAATGAAAAAAATGCTTTTAATATTTTAAGTTAAAATATTAAATTTTATATATTTTAAACATGTAGTTTGAAAGTACTAAATAGGCAGTTTCACACAAACATCTCTAGATTTGTGAGAAAAGAGTGCAAAAGGCAAAGAAAAGGGGGAAATGATGGGACTAGAGATAATTCAGGAATTAAGATAGCATTTATAGAACTAAGGATTGAGCAGAATCAGTAAGTATATAAATTTTATAAAAACTTCCCAAGTGCACTCAGCAAAACCAATGACCTAAGAATAAAAATAAGAGATCTAAAGGCAGGTATGTGCACTGAAATTATCCCTGTAGAATTTATTATGACATAACTAATATATGACATAGAATTTTCACAAATGTTTATGTATTGTGCAGTTTGAAATTAATTTTGCCATTTTTCTGAACAAAATGCTTACAAGACATTTATGTTAATAATTAAGATTACATAAATGAATCAGATTCTTGGCAATTTCTTTGCTATCCTTAAAAGATAGAAAACAGCCCAAAAAAGAAAACTATTAAATGGAATTTTAATCACTGATGTTTTAAAACTTTTTAGACCATTCACTTTTTCATGTTTTCTACTTTTCTAACATGTATTTAAAATTTCTTAGGTAAATCTTTATATTCTATACATTTGGTTGCATTTATTTTTCTTTATTGTACTTTAAAATACTGGATAATTTGTGTGATTTCATGATGTTTAGGAGTATATTAATTACTATTAAATATATGAGAATTATTTTTTTTCTGGTGGTACTGGGGTTTGAGCTCATGGCCTTTGTGCTTGGTAGGCAGGCATTCTACTGCCTAGCCATAATCCATCTATTTTAGGCTTCTCATACTAGCTAGAATGAAAGGTGTGGACCACTGTACTCAGATCTCAGTTGAGAAGGGCTACTGTAAACTTTTTTTTGGTCTGGGCTGGCCTTCTCAATCTCAGCTTCCCAAGTAGATAGTATTTTTAAGTATGAGGCATTGGTGTCTAGTTACATTTGGGCTTTTTTTTTTCTTTTGCAGTATTTGAGATTTGAATTCAGGACTTCATACTGAGCTATCACTTGACCCATGCCTCTAGCTTTACTATTTGCTGGTTATTTTGAAAGAAAGTATTATGGACTTTTCTGCCCAGACTGGCCTCAAGCTGTGAACCTCTGTATGTCAACTTCCTAAGTCATTAGTGTTCCATTATTTGAGGATCTTAAAAGTTTTCTTTTAACTTTAAATTTCTAAGTAACCATTTTATAATTCTACTGTCATCAAAGTAATTGGTATATTTTAAAGTTTGTGAAGAATTTCTGCTCCACATTTTACCAGTTTAGTCAATAATCTATGTGTACGTGAAAACAGTAAAATACTCATATGTCAATTTTGTTGGCTGGCTGGTTTGCTTACTTGCTTGCATATTTATTTATTTATTCTTTTTGGATTTGAAATCAAACAATATGTAAAAAGACAGTAATAAACTGAAGAAATATTGTGACTATGGAAAATGAAGTTATACTTCAAGCCTCAAATTGTATTGAACACTTGGGACTGTTCCTTTCAGAATGAATACACACACACACGCGCGCACACACACACACACACACACACACACACACACACACACAATTTTTCTTCTAGTATAAGAAGCTGATTCACATTGCATTTCACAAAGCTGACAGCAAGCAACTTTTACCTGATTTTCATCCTGCACCTCCATCCCGTACTGGTCACCTGGCTGAACCTCTGTGACTTTCTCACCAAGGAGGAAACCCAGGCGCGTCATGAGTGTGTTTGCAGCCTCATCTACAGATGGAGGGGGGCCAAGTTCCTGCTCAGCATCATCTATAACAAGAAAGCATGGAAAACCATTAATCTTTCATGCTACAGTGCTCTGGTCTTTGCCTAGGTTTATACTGTTTGCTCATTTCTTCAGTGTTCACATTGTGAACCCAAAATTCTAAATTACAGTACGTGTGCAGATAGTCCCACTTTTAAAGACTATAATTTGATATACAGTATACTGAAATTATCCTCAATTTATCTATTGGGGACACTTGAACTTGGGAGGATGTTTTTGTTTCTTATTAATCAGAAAAAAAGTTGCTATTTCTTTGGTAATTACTTTCCTAACACAGTCCTAGTCTTGACATCTAGTTCCTAGTCATAATCACTTCACTCAGGTTCTTTTACCATGTTTTTTTTTTCTTTTTAACAGTTTGCATAGTCAATTTGTATTTTGAAATAATTTCAAGCTTACTAAAAATGTTTCAAGAACAGTACAAAGAATACTTTTTCTTAGCCATTTCAAAGTTACAGATGCCTATGCCCTCAGATGGTATGCATTTCTATAAACAAGATATTCTTTTATAAAACCCACACTATCAGCAAAGAAATGAGTAAAGTAACATTTCATATATCTATCAGCTCTTCCACAGACTTCACTTAAGTTTGAATGTTTGCTCAGTAATGTCTTTTTACAGAAAAAGAATGCAATTCAGGCTTATGCAATTCACTTAGTAATTAATTCTCTTCATCTCTTTTAATCTGTAATGATTCTTTAGTCTTAAGACTTTCATGACCTTGACACTTTCCAGAATTATAAGCTTGCACACCACTCTTTAGAATTTACTTCTTGATTTGATCCAGGTGATATATACATATTATATACATATATACACACATATATGTATATATACACATATATACATACATACATGTAATTTTTTAGCAGAAATATCACAAAAGCACTACTGTGTTAACTTGGTCAACTGGATTTTATGGTGTAAGATTTTTTTTTCAGTTAAAAAATCATCATACTTTATCCCTTTGTAATTACTAATATCAAAGGTAGTATGAAATTTATGTAAATGTTTCATTTCTCAACATACCTGTGGTAACATATATATAACAAAATTTTCCCTTTAGCCATTTTAAGTTAGGATTCAGTTAATACATTTACAATGTTGTATGACCTTTGCCACCATTCATTTTCCATCAGCCCCAACAGGAACATTATACCTATTAAAAATAACTTTTACATTTCTTCCTTTTATTAACTCCTAATGACTGCTATTCTACTTTCTGCCTCTGTATAAGTACCCATTCTAGGGACCTCCTGTAAATGGAATCATACAATATTTGCCATTTTGTGTAATTCTAATCTCACTGAGCAAAATGGTTTCAAGGTTCATCATATTATCATATATATACATATACATATATATACATACACATACAGACTTGGCCCATTATTTTTAACTTGGCCCATTATTATTAATGCTTCTTGAGTTAATTACAATAATAATTTTCCTAAATTCCATTTTTAATCTCAACTGTCTGTGCAAAAGAACAAGTAATCCAACCTGGTGCTCATGCCTATCATTTTAGTCATTCAACAGGATTAGATCTAAATTATTGAGGTTTGAAGCTAGCTGGGGTAGAAAAGTGCATGAGACTCCAACTCCAAAATAACCAGAAAAAGTTGGAATGGAGGTTTGGCTTAAGTAGTAAAGTAAGTAAGCAAGCTAAGTGAGGATGAAGTCCTGAGTTCAAACCCAAGTACCACCAAAACCAACAAAAAAGAATAAGTAATTCAATTAATAAATTGGCAAATGAGAACCAGAGTTCTCAGCAGTACAAATGACCAATAAACATGAAGAAATATTTGATATACTTAGTTAAAGGAAATGTAAATGAAAATGCTGAGATTCCATCTCACACCAGTCAGAATGGCAATCATCAAGAAAAAGAACAAATAAATCTGAAGAAGTATGGAGAGAAAGAAATCTTCATACACTGTTGGTGAAAATGAAAATTAGTACAGACACTATGGAAATGCAAATTACTCCAGACACTATGGAAATTCTTCGAGAAACTAAACAAAAGCACTATAAAATGAAATCCATCAGGAACTCTTAAAAAGAATAGGACTAAGGAGGGGAACTAAGAAAGTAACATAGAGGGGCTGAATTTAATCAAAGCACATTTTATGTATGTCAATGGAATCTTTTTGCACCAAGAATTTATGCTAATGAAAAAGCAATTAAAAAGAATGTTACAAAACTCTTTTTTAATGGAGTTAAATATTTATGTCCTTTTAACTTATATGCATTAACTTATAATGCCACATGGTTTTATAACAACTACAAAAGATTCTTATTATTTTAGGAAACTCAGTATCACACTTTTAAACAATTCCAAATTCCCAGAAAATAAGATTTTTATTATTATTCAGTATAACATTTATCTTCTACTGAAGCCACGGGTCAGATGAAGGGTATATGAATATGTATATTAACTCAGTGATCCATCTGTGGAAAATCTATATAGAATTCCCATTGACTTTATGTCAGAGGCTTTATTTTTCCTTTCAAGAGGCAACATAAGTAGATTTCTTTGACAGGTGGTATAAAATAGTACATGTATTTTATATTATAAATGTTTAGATTTATGTAGAATTTTTCCTAAGAATGGTTGAAAGCTTCTTATTCATTGGTCAAATACCAAGATAAAATTGTTTTCTTTAATTTAATGAATAACCCTCCTCCTGCTATGCACTGAGTTTATCCTAAAATTTTCTCATCACAGCCGGGTCCTGGTGGCTCACGCCTGTAATCCTAGCTACTCAGGAGGCTGAGATCTGAGGATCACAGTTCAAAGCCAGCCCAGGCAGGAAAGTCCGTGAGATTCTTATCTACAATAAACCACTAGAAAACTGGAAGTGGTGTTGTAGCTCAAGGGGTAGAGCGCTCGCCTTGAGCTGAAGAGCGCAGGGACAGTGCCGAAGCCGAGTTCAAGTCCCACGACCGACCAAAAAAAAAAATTCTCATCACAAATTTCATACCTTTACTAAAATATTCCAGAACTTCATTTCACTTTCTCCTAAAGAGTTATTCTGTCTTTTCCTTTTTTATATTTGTTTTAATAGTTCTAATAAAGCACTCACTGAATAAAAAAGATTAGTAAAATAATTGGTATGAGGATTTAAGAGGCATTTTGATGGTTCTGAGCAAATATACGAAACAGAAGAGAGACAGAGAATAATGGCCATCAATAGTGGGCAAGGAATAAAATTTGACAGCAATAAGAAAATATGCCTACTAGGCTAGACACAAACAATAAGTAGTTTCATACTTTTAATTCTCAGCATGCTCTTCACCTTTTCACATTTGGGTGATTACATTTTCCCTTATGATACATTCATTATAAATTTCCTATTTCTCATTGATATAAATATGGCACCTCTTTGTGCTATACTTAATCATTATAGAAACCTAGGTGTTTTCTCTGACAGGACTAATTGCCAAAGCAAATCTGGTTACATTTCCATTTCTTAGTTCTTAAATGTTTCCTTTTCTAATAACACTGAAGAGTGGGTGAGTACTAAAAGCCGGTGCTTTAATTTGTTCCAGTAAGAGCTGAAAAGGTTTGGCAGGTATTCCACATCCTTCCAAAACTCAGTACTGGGTGGTAAGAATCAAAACGGAGCAGCTTGTTTGGAGCCACTACCCTACATTTCTTAGTTCCCAGGTATACCTGAAGGTGAGGGGGAAGAAATGTGTGAAACAAATGGTAAATTACTAACAATTGTTGAAACTAGAGGATAAGTTGATTATGTGGGAGTACTCTTAGTATGTTTAAAGTTTCCCAAAATAAATTTTTTGGGGACAAGGACTTTATTTGAACCAGGGGATGTTATGAACAGACTTGAAATGTGACTGTATGACTGGATTTGTATTCTTGTGTGTGTGTGTATGTGTGTGTGTGTGTGTGTGAGAGAGAGAGAGAGAGAAAGAGAAAAAGAGAGAGAGAGATATGTTATTAGTTTTAATTTTGAGATTTTACTTGCTAAGCCGGTACTCTATGGTCTGAACCATGCCTCCAGCCCTTTGGCTCTACTTGTTTTTGAGATAGGGTCTCACTTTTTACCCAGGCTGGTCTGGACTGCAGTTGTTCTCCTTATACTTCCTGTTATAGCTGAGATGATAGGTACACAATACTATGCCCAGTCTTTTCTGTTGGGTTGGGGCCTGTCACCACTATTTTCATCAACTCTGCCACTGCTGTCTGATCAGGCCTTGTGTTCTTTTGCTCTAGTGATTGATGAACAGTTTTTCTCTGGATAATGACCTTTCAGCCAGGGCCTCACATGGATACATTAACTCTTGAACACTACAGGTGTCTAATCAAAAAGAGCCATTTCAGCCATTAATTACAAACCTCTGAGGAAAAAAAAAACCTGCTCCTTTTCAATGTTGTAGATTTTGAAGTGGTTTTTATGAACTGGTATTATTGGAAGTTACTTTTAGTTAATTTGACTCAAATATAATCATAAATTAACTAGCAGACTACTATGAAATCCTGTTAGCTTTTCTTACATTTTCGGTTCCATTATCTTGTCAATTTCTTACCCACTCACTTCTGTCTAGATGCCATCCTATTCTAGATGTCATCCTATCTCCGTTCTCATCTAATGTTCTCTTTTCAGGGATACAATTTATATTTAATAAATTATATATGCAAAAATATAAAATTTAGTGAATTTGCCAGATATCCACTTACCTGAAAAACTGTCAAAACCAAAATACTGTACATTTCCATTACTCTTGGAAGTTTTCTTATGTCCTTTCTCAGTAAATCCTTTTAATTACTAGCCACTGACAATGTTACTTAGTTTACATTTTCCGTAATTTTTTTTTGTCGGTATTTTTTTTTTGAACTCTGGGCCTGAGTGCTGTCCCTCAGCTCTTCAGCTCAAGGCGAGCGCTCTACCACTTGAGCTACAGCACCACTTCCGGTTTTCTGGTGGTTTATTGGAGATAGGAGTCTCACGGTCTTTTTTT